ATTAGAGATGGAAATTTCTATTATAGTAATATCTAAACGGCCAAACATCTTCAACCAACCATTCGATGAATCGAGTTTGAATCATGTTCCCGTCGAAATTCCGTGTAAGTTCAAAACCGCAACTCCAGTTCCAGGAATGTCGGTCCATCCATTATAAGGTTACCATCGGGATGAGAATTTTGAAGCACTTGCGGTGTACCTAGAGTACGAGTCACACTGAACCGTGGAGATCAGCGGTATAGCTCTGTCAGAATACTAAACGCGGATCTATATCCTTCTAGTAGCATCGATATATAACAGGTATTTTGGACACTCCCTTTGTGACAGTGCGAGAGGTCGCAATTTATCCTACGTGTAAAAATTCCTGTTTCATTCACTGGATGCTGTAACATTCCCTTGTCAATCATGATTTCTATTTTCCATCTACGAGCTCTTTAACAAATATGTTTATAATGTGATTCTTTATTATAATTTTGATTCCAGTAATCCTTTCTTTATTTTAATATTCCTGTCACCACATCTTAATATTTCGACTATCTAGGAAATGGCCACTGTTTTTCTGGATAGATTCTGGAAGAACACAAAAAATTTCTTGCTCTCGGTCTATTCTTCATCCAACCGACGTGTGGTTGTTTACTCGTTCCGCGATGGAATTCGAGGAGGGTAGTTAGGGAACGTAAACATTGTTATGAGTGGACTTAATGCTATCTTAATCAGTCTTCCCGGAATAATCTGTGCGCAACGTAGTATCGATCTCTCATTAATGTTCAGCTAAGATTAACAGTCGGATCTGAGTCAGTGCTCATTAATTTGTCGGTCAATCTGGTTGCATCCGTGGCTAATATCATTAATTATGGTTGTCTTCGAATGGTCTTGTCGAGTGACTCGTCTCAAGTTGCACGGTACGCCATCAACCGCATACATTAGCTGTGGATAAGCTCGTACCCGTCAATTATAATCCCTAGAGAAGAACAGGTGTACCCCGAAATAGGATTTATACGCCGATTAGATGCAGACAATACGAGGTTGTTAGATGGAGCAGAATTCAATGCATTGACTAATTAATCTAAAGTAAACCTATTGAAAGGATCAAATTTAAATTAAGGTAGGATGAATTGAGGAGAACCGTGTACAAATTCCCATAGCGCTTTTAACAGTGAATAACAGAAGCTTAGATATTCCTTGGAGAAATATGATACAATTGAATCACATGCTTTCGTACGTTTGAATAATGTGCCGATAATGGATAGTAAAGAATGATAAGAATGTCAGATAACATTGTACTAACCGACGAAAATTCGGTCGGAGACATTTTAAAGGAAGTTTAAAGTATTCAAAGTGGCTCCGTGCACCGTGTCTAATGCACCGTATCGGAAACGGTCGTGTCGTAAAGAGCGTGCGTTATCGTATATTAAATCTTAATGACAACGGTGTCCCATAAACCTAAACCGAACCGGACGATGCAACACGGAAATGCTTAGTATCCACCGTGATGGCCGTTGTACGAAACGATAGTTGGTGTATCGATCCCACCGGCTCTAGATTGATCGACGCCTATGCGAGGAGCTCCTCCCGTTTTCGAGAGGAAGAAAACGATGACGGGCAAATGGTTGGCCGGAGCGGGCAATAACAACGCTTGTTTTCTGGAGGAGTATAAAAAACCGGAAACGACGACGACTGAAATACCCGGAAGCGTTTTCCCCCGTGAAAGAAAAGATACCACCCGCCGCGGTGGGGCTTTTCCGCTTTGTTGGGGAGATCGATGAACTTTGTTCCTGCGGCGGCAAAAGGGAAGAACACACGGGCCAGTGGATCCTGGGGTAGAGAGGAGCAACAAGCGGGTAGGAACTGGGAAGGTATATTCGTGTGTAACGAGCTGCCCGTTGGGAACGATTATGGTCTACGTAGCGCGTTCTCGCGCTAGATTATTTATTAGCCAGGACGACGTTTAAATATTCCGATAGTTGGCGGTAATTTAAAAATAAGAAATATTACTTTCGGCTCTTGCATTTATTCTCGCGTTTAAATAATAAACTGTATCTAGTATAAAATATTCTTCGTATTTCTTTGATGAGTTAATATGCATTTTACAAAGAAGTAATTGGCAAACGGAACAGAGAATATTTTTATACTACTGTTCATAC